CGCCAGGGCTTCTCCCCCAGACGGCTGTGACATAGAACAGGGTTGTTGTTGTAAGCGTGTTATGGGCACTGTTATTAAGTTATTTTCTTTGGATTTTACTGAGAAAAAAAAAAATCCACTTTCCTGTATCATTCTGTGAGTACACTTTGTGCAGGACAGCAGGGCTGGTCAGCTGAGTATCAGGCAAGAATGCCATGTGCTAGCCTCCGTCCCCTTGGTGAAGACCAAGTTGGTGTCCACTGTCAGGTAATTGGTTAATTGCTCTTCCTTTACGAGGATTTCTGTTCACATTTTGAACGGCTTCTTTTGATGTTAAAATTATTATTGACTTTGGGCACTTTCTTTGCTTCTAAGTCAAGTTCCACTTTTATACCAAAGTTACGCTCTGCTGTTTTGAGATGAGTGCCAGCTGGCGGTACCCAGAGGCTGGCTTTGTGGACAGGGCCTGGGCCGGCATTGTGGGGCGCTGTCTGCCTGATAAGTTGCTTCCCTCGCCCGAAGGTGAAGCTGTCTGACAGAGCTTGCCGTTTGATATTTACATCATGAAACAAATATCACGCTCCCTCCCACCCTAAAAAGAAAGTTTCCCTCACCTCATGTAATAATGCCCAGGACAAAACAGTGGTCTAGCACCTACCAGGATTTCTCAGCTCTCAAGACTCCATAATTTGAAAACGAGGGTGGCATGAAGTCCTGAGTGCACATGCTAAGTAATCCGTGCTTGCATGCATATGTCACCTTTTGTACGGGAAGATCTCAAAGCATCACACTCAAAGGAGACTTGAGCTGTTTCTGGGCCAGTGCCAAAAGCGTAGTCATAAGAATCCTTTACAAGCCATCACTGAGGAAAGTGTTTTGGTCAAGCACGTGAGAAAAGCCTCCAGCCTAGTGAAAAACCCCAAGATGTTCTTTGGTTTCCCTACAGCGTAATGTCAGTACGCGTCCCAGACCTTCAGAAAGATCATCAGAGATGAACTATCCACCTTAGAGACAGGTGGCCTGTGGGCATGTCTTGTGGGCTTTGCAGAGAGACCCTTAGAGGTTAGCGAGACAACTTGCAGGACTTCCAGGCTGTGTACATTGTAAGATCTGCGTTTAATGAGTGGGTCTTTATCACGTGCTGTGTTTATGAAAACTAGAACTACCAGCCAGTTGTCTGTTTAGTTTCTTTCAGCGTACCTGTTTTTTTCTTCATGTTATTAATAAGCAAAGATGTGGAGAAGAAACAGTGTCCCCCCTCCAGTGATACCTTGGTCCAGTGGATACCTGTTTTTCATCTTAGGGGAGGACAGAGCAAGACGTTACCTAGCCTTCCTCGATCCATGCTTCCTTGTCTGAGACCGGTGATCCTAAGGACAAAGACAGGGTATATGGCACCCTTTATTTGAGAAGCAAAGGGTGATGTGCTTTGGCAACACTTGACCATGCAAAAGCTTCCATGGTGTTGGACACATGTATGTTCTGTCATTAGTCTCTATCTGCCGAAGACACTTCTCTTTACCTCTTATGATTAGACTCCGAATGCATCAAAGGTTCCTTCCTGTAGAGGCCAGAAGTTGGCATCACTCCTGAATCCGGCCTTCCCTCATTGCTGTGGAGACGCTAGGGCCCAGCCCTAGTTTCCTGAAGCTGCCACACGTGCCCCTCTCTGCTGCACCCAGGCTGGCAGACGCGCCCGCCAAATGTTGACTCTGCTCAGATGTATAAGCTGTTATCCGCCGCCCCTCCTCCTCGGCCTGCAGTCAGAGCTCCCTTCGGCTCTCCCTAGTTTTCTGAGTAGTAGGTTGAATAAAGCTGGGGAAGATAAAGCCAGGCCAAATGTTGGGAGCTGGAAGGGGAAGAAATCAACTGTCAACTTCAAAGGGAAAAGGCAGCAAGCATCTGAAAAAGTTGTCTCTCGGTACAGATGTTGCAGGGAGCGCATTTCTCTATTATTTCAATTATTACAACTTCCTGCATAGGTTGAAGGTCGTTCATAATTCACACTTCTGTCATTTCTAGACATGCCACATGCAGTCTATTAAGCAGAAATAAAGCTTTCAGTGCTTGACCGGGAAAAGTAAGCGGGGCTCCGTGACAATGAGGCCTCTTGTTCATCTTTTCCAGAAGTAAATGGTGTGCTTTCTTTCCCTCTTGCTTTCCCCCTGTGTACAGAATTTTCCTTCTGTCTCAATAGTACAAACATAATACTTTAGATGGACCCAAGCACAGCGAGCTAGGCAGCCAGACTGGGCTGGCGCATTCTGGATTTTTCTCTTCTGTACGACAGTAAACAAGAACCCACTTGATTGCCATTTAGGAATCCAAATGGTATCCTCGTTCTTCTGATAGAGGATTTGGTGGAATTCAGGTCTTCACAGTATAAAACCAAAAAAGACTGCGAGCCTTCTGTGACCTCTTGGCCACCTGTCCCAATGCTGGTGTGCCACACTGTTTCCAGTGCTGTTCTCTTGGCTTAAACAACCAAAAAAAAAAAAAAAAAAATCACGTGACACATGGTTAATTCCAACTCCAGCTAGATATAAGAGTCATATAACATAATGTGTAACTGCATATAACTCATATGATATATAGTTAGAATTAATCATGTGCCGTTAAACATCTATTTACATTATAGATGAATATATATAAAATATGGGATTGCTCATATTTTATGCAGATTTTTTAAGTTTCCCCAACACATATACTTTGCCAGATGTATATGTCACGTACAAGATATATAGTATACCTAAGTACACATACAGTTATGTATAACATCACATGGAAATGTACATTTTGGAAATCTAAAATTGGCTAAATCAATTCTATCTCACCAGTGCCTCTTTTATACCTAGCTTGGCCTTGTGAGCACTCACCGAATGGATATTCTCTCTGCAGTTGGAACTGCTTTCAGAGTGTAGTCAAAATAAATAAGTAATAGTGATTATGTTTAGAGTATTTAATTCCTACATACATGTATCATATTATATTTATGCTTTAAACTATGAGTTTTACCAATAGTAAAAGCGACCGAATTCGGGATTTCAAATTTTATTTTCAACTACTTGAATGATTTTAAGTGTTTTTGAAAATTTAGAAATTTCGCCAGTGTGTCATTTTGACAAATTTTAAAAATAAAAGAATGAAATCTGCTATTAAAGCATTTTCTGTAAATATTCTTATAAATTGAGGTATCCAGAGCTCCAAATAGAATATTCATACTTGCAAAGATAGAAATATAGCTTTCTGGGGGGAAAAAAAAGTCCAACGAGATACTGGGAAAATTAAATTTTTAATGTGATAAAAAGACCGTCTCGACTGTCAAAAGTTTTGGGTGTGTGGACATTAGGTCATGCTCATAACATGTGATTCTGGATTTCAGTATTAGCTACCAAATAGAAAACTTTGGAGAAGCTAATACCGTTTTAAAATATTTATTATGACTTTTTAAAAAAAATGTAGTCTCCATAGAATCCTATTTGCTGACACGATAACCCCCTTTCCTCTTATCTTTCACCTTATATAGGAAAGAACTGAGTTATTCCCTCTAATAGAGCATTCTGAGAGAGAGAGAGAGAGACAGCAAGATAATCAATGTACAGCCCCTTTGTATCAACACACCCCTTTTCTAAGTGTGTGAGATTTCTGAGCCCCTCTCTGTGTATCTGAGTTTAATTCATCACAGCATTTCAAATCCAGAGCATTTTCCCCATAAACCCTCCCCGATGGGAAAGGAGACCTGTTAACTCTTGGATGGAATTGACCACAGGGATTGACTCTCTCCAATTTTCTCCAGCTCACAACCAGAGAGGCTCTAGTATTTGTGTCTCTGCTTCTGGTTCGTAACTCAGTGAGTGCAGAACTCTTAGACCTGCAGTGCAGCTGAGATCTCGAGGAAACACTGGTTTTAAAGACAACATGACGATGCTTTCCTAAGTGTGGCCAGGTACCCTGACTCTGCAAATCTGTGAGAACATCTACATAAATCACTTCTATCCTTTGTTTCCTTTTTATTTGCTGAAAGATCTATTTTGTTGCATAAAAGTGTATTTTCTGAATGGCTTGATTTCTCCATGATGACATTTTATCCCCCCCCCAACTGTTTCCAGGTGAGAAATTGTCATTTTGTTTTAGTTTTAATTATTGCATCGCTTCTGCAAAGCCTACTGGTGTACTGTTATGATTGTTAGAAAGTAAACGAAGCTGATGTGTAGACGTCTCTGAATTCAGCTATTCCAGGCCCGCTTTTTGGGCCACTGTCGTGAGAAGGGGAACATATGATTTCGTGAAGTGTCTCTGAGGTCCGAAGGGATGAGAGAATGGAGGCCAAGTGGTAAAAACACTCCTTGAGCAGGGTGGATCTGCAAGGGTGTGGTCGCCAGGACTTCGAGGGACACTCTTTCTGCCATGCGGGGACGTGTGCCCAGAATCTGCCCTCGTTATGTCTGGCGCTTGCCAGTTCTTTTCAAACCTCAGTTTCATGAGCACCATAAAAATTCACTTAAAATCGAAAAGAACACCCTGAAGTTAAAATCCACTCTGCTTTCCTTTGCCTTTCATGGCTTGGAATGTCACCTTTTACCTCCAGTAAATAAAGCCAACATCAACACTCTTCCGCGTCTTTTATTTTTTATGCCCTCAATATCCCTCACATGACAGTCGCGACGCTTGCAGGAAAAGTACAGGGTGAGCCACACAATCTGGCAGAGAGAATCGTCTTTGTAGGATCTACTTAAAGTGTATCCATCATTTTCTTTCGTTTCTTGGACTGTTCCTCTTGGACTGAGTACATCGAAAATGGAATTAAAAGAGACATGATTAATAGTGGACTGCAGAGAAATAACCATCGCGTGGTTGTTTTCTCAGAGGACTTTCTCAGAGAGACCCGGCATGTGTGCCCAAGTGGTATTCCCCGGAAGAGACAGTCGCACCGTTTTACTGTCTAGCAGGGTATTGTCCCTGTAACCTCACTGTTTCCGAGAAGCCACCGAAAAGTTCTCATATGTCACAATTCAAATGTCAACATGTTGTTGGAAAGGAAGCTAATAAGTTAAACCTTTGAGAGATGCCAAAAACAGAGGTGATTCAAGCTGTTGAGAGAAGTTCATTGTTTTCTAAGGGGAAATAGAACTCCAGAATGAAGCAGGGTGCTTACACACATTTAACTGGAACCTTAGGGGAAAAAAGCAGACTCATGCATTATTATTTTAGAAGAAGATTTGGTAATCTTTTGAGCCAGAGCTGTTCCTCTCAGTGTACTTCCAAAGAAGGGAAGGCACGAAGGTTGGGATTAACAAGATGCACACTTCAAATTTACTTTTTTTTTTTTTTTTTAACTATAGCACATTACAAAGAGTAAGCTTCCTCAGATAGTCTGGGTTCCATCTATGGACAGATATAAAGAATCTTCAGTTATATTGTAACATATTATGGCAACATTTTATGTTTGGCATTATTTTCTATAAACTGGCTTCAGGTGGTTAAACTATTATTGAGTGAAAAAAAATTCTATTTTGACAATAAAGAAACAAAGCAGAATGTACTCCTCATTGAGTTGTTTTTCCAATGTAGCACAATTTGGTGCTCTGGTCTTTTTATAGAAAAATAAACAATTGGACTTCAGAGCCACCTACTGGAATAAAAAGGCACGTACTTACGTTTAAAGTCAGCTTCTCAGAAGATGCACAGAGAAATAAAATTCAAGCACCAGCATGCCTGTTGACCTTGTAAGACATTCAGTTATTCAGTTTTGCACAGTTTGCAATATCAAGTGATTCTGCAAGAAAAAAGTAGTTGGCAGCAATATGTTCTAGGATTTAAGTCTTAGAATATGGTGTTTGTTGTTTTGTTGTTTCTGGTAGCTTGTGTGTGCATGTGGTTGTTTTGTTTTGGAGGGTTGTTTGTTGTTTCTGGTAGATTGTGTTCGGTGTTATTTAGGGTGTATGTTTTGTTGTTTTGGCAGGTTGTGTTCTTTTGTTTTTGGTAGGGTGTGTATGTTTGTTGTTTTGTTATTTTCGTTAGGTCGCGTGTGTGTTTGTTGTTTTTGGTAGGCTGTGGGTATGTGTTGTTTTTGGTAAGGGGTGTGTGTGTGTGTGTGTGTGTGTGTGTGTGTGTGTCTTTGTCTTGCCCAGAAGTTTAGAAACTAGTTTACTCACGGAAGAGGAACATATGATTTCATGAAATCATATGGCTCACTGAGATCGATTGTGTTTATGGGCCTCCTTGTGAGAGGATGGGGAGGGGAGACTCACTGGAGATGCTGAAGAGAGAAGACGGCCTCCTCCGATCACCGTGGGGCCCTGCAGAGAGGCCGTGGTGGGATGGACTGGGCATTTCACTCGCTAACTGTACAACTTCGTGCTTTCTTCTAAAACTTCATCTGGTTGTGGAATTGTTGTTTAATGACACAAAGGGAAGCTAAGGACATTTTTATGGTAAGATGAGCAAACAGCCTAAAGACCTTCATGCCTAAAAGCTTCTGCAGATACAAACCCTGGTAGCTGGACAGTCACTGAGGCCCAGGAAACGGTGGGCGGCTCTCGGGGACGTCAGCCCAGGGTCCTTTCCACACTTGCCCTGCTGCTTCCAGTCAGTCATTAACAGAGTTATTCAGCTCCTCCGCCCCCTCACCTTGCTAGAAAGCGAGGGGAGTGAGCGCCACCCTTCCCATCACTGAGTCAGCGAAGGGCGTGATGCCTGCCGTCAGAGGGAGGACAGGGGCCGGGGCCTGGGGCAGGGCCTGGTGACCAGCGCCCTCCTGACGTGAGAGGGGGATTCGGGTTTCCCAAGCAAAGCACCCTCCTCAAACACACGGTCCCGATGCCATGTCCTTCCAGCCTCGTCCCCTGAGACGCCTTGTTGAGAAGGGCTGTTCTGCAGACTTGCTCGGGGAAGGTCCAGGTGAGCTGGGCTTCTCCTGGTATCCTGGGCCCGGCGTCCCCCTTGGGTGGGACTCGGAGCCTTCAGGGCAGGGCGTGTGGCAGGATGAGCTTGGAACCAAGCACGCCTGACTTGGACGAGTTCTGGGCTCTGGCACTTGGCGCCCGAGGGCTCTTTCCAGTCCCCCAAACAGGAAGTCACACTTCTTTTGTTAGAAAGTAAAACCGAAAAGGATGGTGCTGAGAAGGTCTGAAAAGGGTCTGAGAAGATGCTGAGCGCTCTCCATGCCTGTCTGGCGCTTCATTCATGGTCTGCCTCCCCTTCTTCCTGACCCCCTGATTTTGTGTTCAAAGATATTCTACAGAGCAGTGGCTGACATCGCGCCAGGAGAGGAGCTCCTGCTGTTCGTGAAGAGTGAAGCCGACCCCCATGACACCATGGCGCCCCACATCCACGGTCAGTGCCCCGCCCTCCCGGCACCCCAGCCCGGCATGGTTGCTGCTGGCTTGTCCGTTTCTCGGGCCGGTGGGGGTCTGTTTGAACAGAGCCCTCTTCCCTTGACACTTGCTGTCTTCTTGGCCTGGCGTCTGGCCAGCGTGACGGGCCGGCGATGGTGGGCAGAGGTCTTCCCGGAAGTGGAGGCCACAGGAGTTTGGCACATCTGGGCTGTAGCCTCACCTGGCTCAGCCTCTATGGGTGCACCAGGCGAAGAAAGGCATGACCCTGTCCCTGTGTAGAGTCATTCCCAGGGTGAGACTTGAGCTGTCCTAAAATCTAGGGGATGCCTCTCCCACCTCATGCCCTGTCACAGGGGGAAGTGTCCCTCCTAAACTGAAATCTTGGCCACTTGGCCACATGGGAGGGGTCTGGGGAAGGGGGTGGACTGGGTCAAAAGTGCCCATGAGGAAACTTTGGAGCCAGAGGAGTCTCTGTTTCCCAGAGGCTTATTCTTAATCAAAGGGTGTTAAGAAATAGTAATAATAATAATTACAATCAGTAGTGATGTGTATTCAGATCAGATTAAGAGAAAACTCTATTTGTCTTGATTTATAACATTGAGATGAAAATGTGCATAATTTTAAAATTCTTCTTCCTCTTTCTCTCTGCTGATGTAATGTGATTCAGTTCAACATGATTTAGTGGTCTCTTTAGAGCATTTGGTATTTGAAAGAACCACTGAGAAGGGTTGCCCATCCCCACATGCCACAACGGGGGGGTGGGGTGGTCTCACCCCTGCCCCGAGCACTCCAGATGAGAGACCCTCTCCTTTTTCCCCAACAGTCCAGGAGGCTGCCCCTGTTGATAGCTGTCTTTACTTGAATATTTTTCCTTCGGCTGGAGGGCAGTCTGCCTCTTCATAGGTTATAGCAGTTGTATTTTGGGAGGCCTTTTGATATTCATATGCCTGCAAATAGCTTTGAAGACCTAGGGTTCCCAATTAGCCCCGGCAGAGGTTGATCCCGGAGAGGGTGTCTGGCCCAAGAGGAAAGGGCTTTTTGGCAGCAGGTGGGGTCAGATGGTAGAAATGCAGTCTGAGGCGTCTTTCGTCTGTTACTGTCAGATCTCACAAGGATTTAAACAATTTCTCAAAATATAAATGACTCGTTTACTCCTCCCCTGAGGCCTAAGTAGAAGTGGCTGTCCTTTTTTGAGGGCCATCGTTGCTAAGTTGCCTTCCTTTACAAACCTCTGGAGCCTTGCTCTGAGGCATGTCTCCGTCCCCACACATAGACCACATATGTCACATGTGACGCTTATCATGCTTCAGTGGTGGTTCCTACTTTATGTCTCAGGGATTTAACTTTCTTTAGGAAAGCGAAGACACGTGCATTGCACACGGACTGTATGCTAGCTGTTAGACGCTCTCAGTCTGTTGCCTCATTTCATCTTTTATACATAGAAAGAAGTGGTATCCATGTGACAGATAAAGAAACTGAGGCTAGCTAAGACCAAGTATATCAGTCAAGCCCTCCTGGCTCATAGGTGATAGAGACAGCCTTCAAGCCAAGGATCTCTGCTGTCTCTATCCCCAGGCTTTCTCCTTGTGTTAAGTGGCTTAGACCTTCCATTTGTGTTCTCCTGGCTGAGATCCCACACACAGATCCTAGATACATGACGTGTGTTACAGGCCGAAGGGAGTACGGCTCTTGACTAAGAAGTCACTGAGAAACCTGACTTTAGAGCCAAGATGATTTATTCTAGAATGCCTCCCTCTTTCTAACCCTCTACCCCCAGAGCTGGCAAACAGCTGACTCTGCACGGTCCCTCCTTGGCAGTCTGGCCCCGCTGGCACTGTCCCGACTGCACTCACCAGGGTCCTATGTGCCCTGGGGCTCTCTGCTTGGCTTCCCGGGCTGCTGGGGAAAGGTTCTTCTAATGGCCTTCTGGTCCCTTCTTCACCGGGAGACCTGTCCCTGCCTAACTTCATTTTCCACCCTCCCTCTCCAGGCACCCTACAGCCCTGCCGTGTTCTTTCTTGTCTCCATCACTGGTACATGCTGTCCCAGCTGTCCGAACTGTTACCTCCTTCCACTTCACTTGGCTGTTCCTACCCTTTACCCAGCCTTTCCTGAACCTCTTTCCCCCAGATCTTATGGTTTAGCCTCCTTTAGACCCTGTGCTCATGTCTGCCAAAAGACATATCACAGACTGTTTGTTCACATGTGTTCCCTGGGGTTCTGATATATTCATTCTCTAGCAGAATGCCCTCACAAGCAGTCAGTGAACAACTGAAGAGTCACATCTTCCCTGGCTCTAAGTCTTTAAAGCAGGGACGACGGGTCACGGTGTTGGCTCTGGGGTTTTGGTGTTGTGAGCTGTTCTCGCGGCATCTGTGACCCTGTGCACTGTGGCCTCCTGTGTCCGCTGAGTGGTCGAAATGGACAGAATGGCAACAGTGCCACCCCACCTGACACCTTATAACCTTGTTGTCTCTGGTCTACACGACTACCATTTATTTGTCTTATTGACTTCAAGTGCAGACTGATGCTCTGTTCACTATTTCACAGAACTATGCCAACGAGCATGGGCCCCGGGTGACAGAAATTAGCCTAGAAGGTACTGGAAACATCCCCTGTCCCATGATTAGCGGTGATGAATGCTAAAGCATTGCCAGGTTACTGACATGAACTGGGGCCACCCATGGCTCAGACGGGAACCTCGTGGTCCCATGGGGTCTGCAGGTCACGCGGCACTGGCATCCTGAGAAGTGCAGGGGACAGAGACGGGCTTGAATCCGGACGCAGGCCTTAGCTCTGCACTCTCTGCCTTATCTCAGTTCTGAGCTTCATAGCCCTGTGTGGAAATCAGGGTATGAAAATCTGACCTAGAATTCCTCCTTACGAGGTTTTGAGGAATGTTCATCATTCCTGTACAAGGGTGAGAAAACAGATGGTGTCCTAGGTCCGTGAAGCAGGGATGATGGGTCACGGTGTTGTCTCTGGGGTTTGGGGGTTGTTACTTCAGTGTCCTCCGAACCCAGACAGCACAGGCCATGCTGTTTCTACCAGATCAGGAGGCTGGACTGCAGCCTTGTAGATCTTGTACGGTTGCACCGGCGTCCGTCCTGAGTTCTCGACATATATTGTTTCTGGTTCACGTTGAAGCCAACATGCTAGATGTGGCAGTCCGCAGGTGTCTTTTATGTCGGGCGTGAGTCGGTGAGACGGGCCGGGCTCTGCCGGCACGTCCTGACCCCCGCCCTCGTGGCACCGGGCTTGTGTTCACAGAAGAGCGGCAGTATCGCTGTGAGGATTGTGACCAGCTCTTCGAGTCGCAAGCGGAGCTCACGGAGCACCAGAAGTTTCCGTGCAGCACGCCCCACTCGGCGTTCTCCATGGTGGAGGAGGACTTCGCGCAGAAGCTGGAGGGCGACAGCGACCTCCCGGAGAGGCTCGCCATCCGGGAGTGCAAGGAGTGCGACCAGGTCTTCCCGGACCTGCAGAGGTGAGGGGGCCCGGCGCCTGCCCCGCTCCTGGGCTCACACGGTGCCGTGTGCATTCTGAGGGTGCATGCAGGTGGGAAAGGGAGAACCGCAGCTGGCCCCCCTTAAGCGCGCTGGCCGCGTGCGCAGAAACCGCTTTCCCTGAAACTCCCGTCTGTGAGATGTGTACGGTGATGTTGGAATTCCTTATTGTGATGTCAGACAGAAAAGAATGTGTTGTGTTATGATGCGAGTAGGGTTCCATTGGGAGCTGGAGGCTTACCTTTCCAGGAAATTGTGAGGTGCAGCAAAAAATCGAGAGTGCTGGAACAAAATGATGCTCTTAACGTCATCAGATGTCAAGAAGCAGTAAAGCTACCCGAGCGCATTCCGGTGATTTTTAACAAGACAAGATCTGGGGCTCACTTGTTGAAAGACAGATGATCTTTAGGTAGATAGAGCAGTGCCACTCCTGGATGTAGTTTCAACGGTTTATCTAAACTGCCCGTACATAAGGGTGTAAGGAGCCTGTTAGGTTTTCTAAAGTGGGGAAGGTCCTGAAAGGGAAAGTTCAAACGTGACCAACTCAATGAAGTGATCATTTAAGGCTTATTTTTAATGCAATGAAAAAATGTCTTTCAGTGATATGCGAACTTTGGCCTTTTGAATTTAATTTCGTAACTTTAGAAAAACTTCTATTTAAAGAAAACAACAACACCAGAACCCACCCTATGAACAGTATGTATACAATAACGATGCTGCAAAAGGTTCTTTAAGATCAGAAAAGTACATAACCAGCAGGTAGGGTTTTTGTTTGTTTCTCCCTAGAGGTTTTGCCGGGCTTCACAAATAATTGTAATAACTGCATTGATCCCTTTGCTTTTAAATCTGGAAATGATCCTGGTAACTTGTAGTCAGAATTTCAGATGAATGTCACGCCGTTGTGCTTGAATGGGGATGGCCCTGTGTCAGCCGGCCTGCCTTGAGAGGGGGTTCCTCAGATTTCGTCTTCCTCCCTCCCCTCCTCCCTGGCTCCCTCATTTCCTCTTCTCTCCTCACCTCCACGTCTACCCTGTGTCTTCTCCTCCACGATGAGCCTCTTCCAGGAAAGGACTTCATATGGCAGTCATTCACTTCAACCCTCAGTGACCAAAAGGCATCAAGTAGAGCTCCTTTCTTGAGGAGACCGAGTTGAAAGAATGATTCTGTAGCTTTGAGGGTTGACAACTAATTTAGCTGTCAAAGAGAAAACATTGTGGAGAGCAAGAGGCCTTTCCAGCCCCCTTTAAACTCACCCCTACTACTGAACATACAGGTGCACGGAGGATTCATCTGTTGTGTACATTTGGTAAAGTGGGGATTTGTAATAAAAAAAAAGTCACAGCATGTCCCCTAAATATAATTGTGCCCAAGTTAAAAAAAAAAAAAAAACACATGAAACGAATAAGTACCAATGGCTAGGAAGAGCATTTATGCTGTAAAACAGAATCTCTAGTGTAAGAACTTAAGTATATATTTTTTTCAGTTTTTGCCATGAAAGGTAACAGCCAAAAGTTGGCAGGCTAAACTCTAAAATGTAATTCTGACTCCCTATTAGAAGTGGAGAGCAATGTTTCTTGGTGAAGCAAGCTTTTTAATCAGCCCAGCTGTAAGATTAAGCTTGAGTCAGCTCTACTCAATGCCCAAAGCAGCTGTCAAACATTTAGTGGAAAGCAAGAAAGAAGCCTCATCATCTGACATCGGGTAAATTTTCAAACGTAGTTTCTGGTAGCCCGGCCAGGTGGGTGGAGTGCGTCACTATGCAACTGAATGCTCATCCTCCATGTGGTAGTTTTGGCTATAATTTATACAATTTAGCCACATGCAGAACCTACACTTTCTGAGTTTTTCTGCTTTATTGAATGCAGCACTGTGGTTTTATATTTTAAACAACAGGGATTTCTTTCTTGACGTGATAGAGTCTTCTGTGTTTTCTCCATAAAGTCTTGAGAAAATAATGCAAAAAATAAGAGCAAGAAAGAATCAGAAGGTGACATGGGAAAGAGGGAAAGAACTGAAAACAACCCAGAAGGCTGAGCAGAGCTCTGGAGATTGAAATAAAGTCCTGCAGAAAACAGAGGTGTCTCCCTAACAGCTGCCTATTCGCCCCGTGTTCGTGAAGGCAGTGTACGCTTCCTTCTGTGCTGGTGACTTGCTTGGTTCTCGTTTTCTCACCGATTAGCTGGAAGCTGATAATTCCATGGAGCAGTGTAGATTTTCTACTTAATTAGGAAAAGCAAAGTAAGGAACATTCCCTTTGCTTTGCGGTCTTGGATCCCACTAAGTACCATGTCCTCATAATATACTCTTAACACTAAAGCATACCCTTGGAACTGGAAGAGGGAACCAGACGCAAGGAACAGGCCAGTCTTCTGCCACGAGGGTTCAGGGTTGGTTCCCTAAAACACAGCCTATCACAACACGTGTCACAATGTGGCTTGCGTTTACAGCTGCCAAGGTCGGACAGCAAGAATGAATCCAAGGGATTTCCGGGGACGTCCCTGACTCAGTTCAGTGCTAACTGCTGGTGTTGACATCTCCCCCTTCACCCTCACAGGCAGGAAGAATACATCATGTTTGGAGAGGAGGCTGAGGAAGAGAAATGTAGAGGGAGGGGATTATCTACCAAGATATGATAGAGGCATCCCACTGTTTCCCTCTGCTCTCACGCACTGTCTACTCAGCCACGGGGGCATCTGTTCTAGGCACACACAGGTCTTCGCTCACACTGAAATGTAGAGTGTTCATTTCACAGAGAAAGAAAACACAGAGGCAGGCGAGACCTCATCTCTACAATAAATCAAAAAAATTAGCCGGGCGTGGTAGCGCGCGCCTGTGATTCCAGCTACTTGGAAGGCTGAGGCGGAAGGATCGCCAGAACCCAGCAGGTCGAGGCTGCGGTGGCCAGGAGCGGCCACTGCACTCCAGTCTGGGTGACAGAGTGAGACTCCAACTGAAAAAAAAAAAAGAAGAAGGAGAAGAAATCGAGTTGTTTTTCTGGGGTCTTTCCTCCTGTCTTGGTGCTGCTGTGATGTCCCACCTCTTTCTGCATCCCCTCTATTTCCTGAGAACTCAGAGTTACAGCTCTGGCCTTGGGTGGTTTTAGGTTCAGTGTTTCAGCAGGAACATCTCATCGATGGGGTCATTTATTTCCATCAGGAGTACATAATGGATGGTCTAGATTCATCCGTTCTTTAAGGGCTTAAAATAGGGATATTCTAACTGCATCATTCTCCCATCATTTATTATCTGGATTAATTGTGTATGGAGAAACCCCCTCATGTGCTGGGTTACCCTGTAGAACAGTGTATAATAGGAAAGCAGACAGCTGCGTGCATTTTTCCTTTCTTTACCAGTTTATAGAATAATGATTTGACTCCTAGTGTCCCCCGGGGGTGGCCAGTGGGGCTCCCTCCAAGGGTTTCGAACATCGTTATTATTAAGGGCTCTGTTTCCTCTGAGGCTCACTGGCCCCACCTTTGGCCAGTGCCATCTCTTCAGGTTGGCACCTAATTCTCATGACTTCATCACCGCTTCCTTGCTTTTTGCCAGGACAAGAGGGCCAGGCCCGGCTTGCGGATTCTGTGCTTCTGATTCAAATAGGCGGCTTCTCCAAGGAACTCCAACTCATGTCACATGGGGCTGTATCCTCGTGTGTTACATGCATTTGTCTCTAATCAGTGAAAATGCTGCAGACCTCTTCTGTCACAATAATCCACTCTCCCTAATATTTCCTTTTCTTTATATTCATGCCTGCTTTATCTATACAAATCTCAAAAAGGCAGGGAAACATTTGAGAAGGAAAACATTCTTAACTTGGAAGTAAAGAAACGATGCTTGTGAGAAACAACCATGTTTTTCTTTCGGGGGACTTAAATAGTGCCACCACTTAAAAAACATACGATTTTTTCCTAATTCATGGGCTTACATATATATGTTTATTTGTATTTGCATGTATATCTCTGCAGACATACACGCATACACACATATCCATGTATCGGTGTATCCATCCAACCACTCGTTTACCTTTTCCATGCATCCACCCATCCATCCTTCTGTGGCTCGAACTATCCATTTACCTGTTTATCTCTCCGTTCAGTCCTCCTTCCACCCACCAGCTATCCTTCCTTTCATCCGTCCACCAGCCAGCTAAACTGCCAGGCATTTGTCTGTCCTCCCTCCCTCCCTTCCTCCCTTCCATCCATCCTTTCACTGATACATCCATCCATCCATCCACCTATCAAACCCGCCAGCCACCGATCGATTCATTCTTCCCTCCCTCCCTCCTTCCCTCCCTCCCTCCTTCCATTTATCCACCCTCCGTTCATCCACCCATCCATCCAAGCTAACTTCCTTCCTGTCCTCCATCTGTCCATTTATCTGTCCATCCTTTCACCCCGGAGTCATTGGGAAGTTGTTTCTTGAGTAGTTGGCTTACAACTCACTTTCTTACATGGTGTCATAGATAGTAACAAAAGTCCTTTTTGAATCTAGAGATTATATACGGTAGACAGAACACCTGCCTACATATTATTTGCATTTGCTTAACATTTTATGGATGAGCATTTGTGTTTGAGTTTAGGGGGTATCAGCAGTGCCCTCTAAGACAGGGGTTCCTCCTGTCTTGTGTTGCTGTTAGATTTGGGTAGCGAACCCCCAACTGGACGCAAAGCTTGTGGTTTGCCGTGCTTCTGAGTCAGCCGATCACCCCTGCTAGCTGGGTCAGATGTGTTTTCTGACACAGGACCACATCTTCATATTGGAGAGAGACACAGTCCGGGAAACATAAATGTACCTTTGTCCATCCCGGGCCTGTTTCTGCCGTCTCTCCTTCTCAGTTCAACCCCTTTTCCTTCTACGTCTTTAATCGCCGGTCTGGGTTAGCAGTAAGGTGATGTCTGTTTATGAATGCATTCTTTGTCTTGTTAACCCAGTTGTTCTCTTCCAGCCTGGAGAAACACATGCTGTCACACACTGAAGAGCGGGAGTACAAGTGTGATCAATGTCCCAAGGCGTTTAACTGGAAGTCCAACTTAATTCGCCACCAGATGTCACATGACAGTGGAAAACACTATGAATGTGAAAACTGTGCCAAGGTACAGTGAATTTGTAGGCTGCCCGGCCTCTGTGTTGTTCTGCTCCCTCTTAATCCGTCGCTCGCTGTGATGTATGAAAACAAGCCTTGAGAGGGGAGCTATAAATATCTCGAGGAAAGTAGACTGAGTGCTGTATGCTCATAGGCATTAGTGGGGTGTATAAAAACACTTAGTGGCTATCCTTTTATTTTTGTAAGGGAGGAAGTGAGGCTTAATGGTGAGTTCCAGAACTAGGTGTCAGACATCCTTGGTAAATTCCTGGTTCCGCTACCGACTTGCCAGCGTGGAGTTGTTTTATAGCCTCGTGGAGAATGAAAATTTTATCCAATGCACATTATTGATTTCTTTTAATAGCAATTTGCGAGGAAGTCCCATAAAGTTTCTGAATGCCTCTTCAGAAAGAATGGGAGACTCCTGCATTTGCGGGTTTTTCTGCGTAAGTCCTTGCCATAAATTAGAGAGTGTGGAGCCTCTGTCTTCGAGGGCAGCGCTGACCAATGCCGGGCGGCATGGAAGGGCTCACCTTGGCTGGGGCGTAGGGCCACAGTGATCACATCTTATTTTCATCTGTCTTATCCATCCAAAAATGTCTCCCGGCGTTTGGATACCTTTCCTCATGCCAGTGGAGATCTCAGTGCCCACTGGGTTACCGGGTCCTGTTCTCCCACGAATCCCCCATGCTAGGCATGTTAACCTAAAATGGTGTGTTGCTTTTTCTTCTAAAAAATTAAAAAGACCTTGGCAGTTATCTTAGGGATGTTTTGCTCTGGGCTGTGTTGGGGGGCTTTTTCATTTTGTGGGGGGTTACAGTGTGCCAAGGGATTATTTTAGCTTGCTTGTAACTTACTGTAACCGTGCTAGAATTTAACCCCCTAGGCAAACTCTTTAAATACATTGGGGTACTTTAGTCAAAATCCCCCCAGTTTTGTACATTGTACAATGTGTCTTTATTTAAAGGAAGAGGCCGGGCTCAGTGGCTCAGCCTGTCATCCCAGCACTTTGGGAGGCCGAGGCGAGTGGATTGCCTGAGCCTAGGGGTTCAAGGCCAGCCCTGGGCAACTTGGTGAGACCCCCGTCTCAACCATAAATAAAAAATTAGCTGGGAGCGGTAGCACACGCCTGTAGTTCCAGCTACTTGGAAGACTGAGGCAGAAGGTTGGCCCTGAGGTGGCAATGAGCGTGCCATTGCACTCCAGCCCGGGCAACGGAGTGAGACTCCAACTCAGAGAAATAAAAAAATAAAGGAGGAAACAGCATGCCGGGTCTAGTAGCGGTGTGATGACTGGCATTTTATTCAACTCCAGGCGCTCTCAGTGGGATCAGAAAGGCCTCGACAATGACCAGTTAGTGCCAGGCATTATTTTGCTCCGCTGATGCCAGTGGGGGCTTGGTGCTCAGAATACAGTTCCTAACCTGCTGGAGAGCGTGCTTTGGGAGTCTTTTGGTCCTTGGAACAAACAGGCAAAGACTAAATAGATATGTGTAGTTCCTTCTCCAGCCGCCCGGTCTCCCACCTGCTTCAAGTATCCTGATTAATCAGTCCTCATCTCCAGCAGGTGTTCACGGACCCCAGCAACCTCCAGAGGCACATTCGCTCGCAGCACGTTGGCGCCCGTGCCCACGCGTGCCCGGAGTGTGGCAAGACGTTTGCCACCTCATCGGGCCTCAAGCAGCACAAGCACATCCACAGCAGCGTGAAGCCCTTTATCTGTAAGTCGAATGTGCCAGCCCCTCCCTGAATCGTCTCTCCTCCACGGGCGCCGGGGCCAGGAGAGAGGCCACGCAAGGCCCCTGGGGTCACCGTGCCTGCCGCTTCTGGTCCACTCGAGAAGGGCTCTTTTCTCTTGCAGGGAAGTCTCTTATAACCAGATCCGCGGCCTTGTGTCTGTGGTCCCTGGGGTGTCTTCTGTTAGATGAAATCAATAACAGGTAGAGAAAAGAGTTGTTAAATAATGAAAGGGAAGCCTCCCGGGTTGCAGGATTTAATCGAGGCAACCAGGTTTGTCTCACACTGTAAATGTTCATGACTTTGCAAAGCAGCAGACTGCAGATATCACTAAACGAGATGAAGTGATTAAAAACCTGTTCTGCATCAGAAAGAGCTGGGAGAAGCCCACCTGGCAAGGAGGCTTCCGGCTGTGTGCGTGTGTGGTGTGTGTGGATGGGGTGAAAGGCTCTTTGATGTCCCTCCTATGCCCATGGCGGCTGGGGGTCAGTAGACCTCTGTCACTGAAAATGACAGACCAGAACATTTTCACGTGGACACTGGGCACTCCATTTCTCCCGCAGCACCAGAGCAGAGCCACAGGTGGGTGCTCTCAGGGCTTGGTGCTCACATGGCCAGCACAAAGCAGACCCACAGGTGGGGGTGAGCTCAGGGCCCTGTGATCGAGACCCACACACACCCTACCCAGAGCACCACGGGCACATGCTTCATGCAGCCAGACCCGGCTCCCCATGCAGTCCCCCTGCCCACCACGCCCGTCCTCTGTTGTGCTGAAACAAGTTACATGAAGCATCTGCTGTTCTCAGTCTGTCTGGGCAACGGTTCTGGGCTCCTTTTGATCCACGACTTGGCTGAGTTTATAAATACAGTGACTCATGGCATTGCGCTGCAGCCTCCGAGACAGGTTTTGGACCCAGATACACGTGGAGTCTATTGGCACACACTCGGCACTTGGCAAGCCTCTGGGTGTAGTGGGCATGTGAGACACTACTACAGCACCCGGTGGAAAGCACGTCTCCAGTGCCAGCCCGGAGAGCCAGAGACCAACTCCCCCGTCTTTCCTTGACACAGCCCTCTCTTGTGCTGCCAAACACTGAGCAGCTCTCCTTTCCTTTTGGGGCTCACAATAGAGTCCTGTTTGGCTCCCATGTTTTTCTCTTCCCCAGAAGAGAAGGACCAGCAAATAGATAGACAGAAGGGTGCTCTTGTCTCCCGGGGAGCTGGGGGTCCTGTTGGAAGCCGTGGGAAATAAAGTACACAATAGCAACTCCAGACTTCTTGTCCCAGAAGGACATTCCTGACTCTAGGTCGTAATGCCCCGAAAGTGTACTTGGAAAGGCTACAGGTAAATGATATGAAATAGTTCACTTATTTCTCATTTCTCAGAAATGTGTTTCGGTAAGTTTTGTCATGTTTTGGTGTGAAAAGAGGTAGAACAAACCACAAGGAATTCTGATCGCCCACTGAATGCCTTCTCTGCTGCGTACAGTAAGTCAGAAAATAGAGACTTCTCTCATCTAGGATTCTGGGATCTGGGATTTTAATTGTGTCGAAATTGAGCGCTTCACTTGAAAGCACGATAGGGTGTTCCTTTGCCATCAGGTCGCGTGAAGTATTTCTCATGAATGTATTTTCAGTAATTATTGGTAAATTCAAATAGCAGATGGCATTCTTCACGTGTAAAATCTGACAGAGAACCATGGGGTAATTATGAATAATCACCGTGTAATTTCAGAACAAAAGGGCTTAAGGATCAGGCATTGGTGTGGAGACTTGGGTGGAGGAGGCTCACCCAGAGCTGATATTTGTTTCTCCCCAGAAGGCCACACACCATGATTTACTCCTGCTGGTGTGTTTATGGCGACTGTCTCTTGTTACAGTGTGCCGCCAAGCTAAGCCCAGAGTCACCGCGCTCAGGTAATTACTCACTGCCTTTGCAGAATCTCCAGCCTCCTCAAATAGAAACCACATGCTCTAATAGGCGGAATATATTCAGAATGCCTCTTAATTTGTTTAATAAGCAGAAAAATGCGATGTTAACTACTGGCTAATTCCTTATTACTGGGAAAATTACAAGAGGGTACAGACTTCAACATCAACGGAGCCAGTCTCACCAGAGGCCGCTGGTTTGTGGGAGGCCGGGCCTCCAAGTGCTAGAAACAAGGCCTCTGCCTCAGGAGACACCCCCAGTCCGTATTCTCGAGACCAGTTGCAGACACACTCAGCCCTGCAGCAAACAAGTCAAGGGCACCTGTTGTCACACCAGCGTGGAGAAGCTCTTGATTTTCTTAAGGCCATTGGCTGTAGGAGGGAGGTGTGGAGAGCTAGACGTCCTTGCCAGAAAGTTGCAGGTCTTTCAAAAGCTTGTGCCTCTGTGGAGTACCCATCAAGACACTTCCTCAGTGCCTTTTAAGAGAGGTTGCTTCCTGAATGAGTACATTTTAGACTTCCAACAATATTTTACTTACTACTTCTTGTTAGTGCACATCGTTGGATCATTGTACCTAGTGAAAGTCTTGCTGCTTCTACCCTCTCCATTACATGATTTTGATTGATGTATCAAACAATTCAACACACACGATTCAACAATATATATTGTGTGTGGTTAAATAGTACGGACTTTAAAGCAGACTCTGGCCAGTATATTCCAGTAAAATAATTTGAAAATAAATCACCCACATCTTCTTCTCCCATGAAAATGCATGTGACATCCCCTACAATGTCCTGAATGGTTCCCCAGTTGCAAGCTCCTTGCATATCAGCGAGCACATTGACATATGTAACAATGCAGTTTAACCTTTAGCAGCAAAAGAAATAGCTATGCAGTCACTCGGGACTTCCTACTGGGATGTGTGCGGGGTAATCCAAGTTCTGGGTGAGCTGTGCTGGACTGAAAGTCTATAAAATCTCCTTCATGTGAGGTTTTTTTTTTTTTAAATTATTGCTGTGATTCAGGAGCAGAGCCGTTCTGCACCTCAAGGCAGCTACCCTGCAAAAGCAATACGTATTGTGTTTTGTCTTCAATGTAATTTCTCCGGAGAAATTTGTTTCGACAGTTGCCAGCAAGGCCTATCCTGTGTCTGCAGGAATTGCACACGCACAGAAGGGTTAAAGCAAGGCTGCACGTTAGGTGCTTCATGCCTAGGAAAGCCAAATACAAGGTGAGCTAGCTGCTCAGGGTACTGACACGGTGGTCCTGCGGGACCACGCGGTGAGGAGGGGTCTCACCCAGCCAAGGAGCTCCCGAGGGCTGCAAGGTGTGGCCTTCACCTGTGCTCAGGCGCCCTGGCACATGCTGGCGGGGGGAGGGGAGGAGTGTCCTGTTTCGCTTGCAAGTTCTCCCGTGCGGAGGGCTGAGTCACAGCCGCACATCCCGGGCTCGTCCTCCTTTCTGGAGCAGAGCTCACGTAGCCATCTTCCCCACCTCCACCGCTGGCTGTCACCTAGAAGGCAGGCTCCCAGATAACCAGGGCAGAGATGACAGCACATGGCCATGTTTCTCAAGGCTGGGGGGTTCATCAATGCAGGAAGGTTAGCGCCGCCGCTGGTGCGAGGGGAAGTCAGAGGACGTGATCCCAGCTCATGGGAACCAGCACTGCAGGATGGGCCACATTCAATTCGGCTTCCTCTGCAAGCTGAAAATAGTGCCATTGTAAATTATGTCAGTCTTTCTCAAGTCATGAAAATGATTGTGGAAAAGGCCTCGGAAGACACAATGTGCATTGTTGTGTGGCTTTGATGTGTGAATGATGAGAGCGTGTGATATAATACAATCCCGATTAAATAACAGCAGGGCCGCCACAGGCTTTCTCCCCAAGCGGGGTGGTAAGAAGGGTGTCGTTCCCAGTAGAGGGAGAGGCTGCTGCATTCTGTGTGGGTGCCTGCAATGCAGAAGTTTCGAGCGCTCCAGGATTTTGTCTCATGCTTAGTGCATTTCCAGACTTTAACTTTTAAGCTTCTACTTAAAGCACAGGGATCGGGTGGGGAGTCCGTGCATGCTGAAATTGGGCTTTCCCCTAAATACCGAGATGCACAGATATGCCAACGGTTGCGTGGCGGGGGTGGCCCAACGTTGGAGCATATATGTATGACATGTTTGTGCTGCCTCCGGACATTTGTCAGGTTGGATGCCTTGCTTTGGAATCTGGTGAAAGGGGGTTTTCTGGGTTGGGAGCCCCCAGGGTGGCGCCCCTGGCGTCTCCGACTGGCTTCCCGATCAAAACTGGGGGTGAACCAATTGTGATACTTGCTAAATTCGGACGCACTTGCCATAAAGCCTGAGATTCTCTTTTGTCGTTTGCACACAGGTGAGGTCTGCCATAAGTCCTATACTCAGTTTTCAAACCTTTGTCGTCATAAGCGCATGCATGCTGACTGCAGAACCCAAATCAAGTGCAAAGACTGTGGACAAATGTTCAGCACTACGTCTTCCTTAAATAAGCACAGGCGGTTTTGTGAGGGCAAGAACCACTTTGCGGCCGGTGGATTTTTCGGCCAAGGCATTTCACTTCCTGGAACCCCCGCTATGGATAAGACGTCCATGGTCGCCATGAGCCACGCCAGCGCGGGCCTGGCTGACTATTTTGGCGCCAGCAGGCACCCTGCCGGGCTTACCTTTCCGACAGCTCCTGGACTCTCTTTTAGCTTCCCCGGTCTGTTTCCCTCCGGCTTGTACCACAGGCCGCCTTTGATACCTGCTAGCTCTCCGGTCAAAGGACTGCCAAGTACTGAACAGACAAACAGAGGCCAAAGCCCCCTCATGACACGTCCTCAGATACTGCCCGCCACACAGGACATTTTGAAGGCTCTCTCTAAACACCCCCCCGTAGGGGACCGTAAGCCGGTGGAGCCGCAGCCCGAGCGGGACTCCGGAGAGGGGCCCCTCGAGAAAAGCAGTGACCAGTCAGAGAGTAGTGACCTTGACGATGTCAGTACGCCAAGTGGCAGTGACCTGGAGACAACCTCGGGCTCCGATCTGGAGAGTGACCTTGAAAGTGAGAAAGAGAAATTTAAAGACAATGGTAACATGTTCAAAGGCGAAGGGAGCCCGCTTCCGAATCTGGCTTCGGTCACTAATAAGAAAGAATGCAGCAATCATGCCACTTTCTCGCCGTCCCTAGAGGAGCAGACTGCGGTGTCGGGAGCGGTGAATGATTCTATAAAGGCGATTGCTTCTATTGCTGAAAAGTACTTTGGTTCCGCAGGACTGGTGGGGCTGCAAGACAAAAAGGTTGGAGCTTTACCTTACCCTTCCGTGTTTCCCCTCCCGTTTTTTCCAGCATTCTCTCAGTCAATGTACCCATTTCCTGATAGAGACTTGAGGTCGTTACCCCTGAAGGTGGAGCCCCCCTCGCCGGGCGAAGCCAAGAGGCTGCAGATGGGCAGCTCGGAGTCCCCCTTTGACCTCACCACCAAGCGCAAGGATGAGCCGCCCACGACGCCGGCCGCCTCCAAGGCCCCCGCCGCGCCGGCCGCCGCCGGCCAAGACCAGCCGCTGGACCTCAGCATGGGCAGCCGGAGTCGGGCCAGCGGGGCCCGGCCGGCCGAGCCCCGGAAGAACCACGTGTTCGGGGAGAGGAAGGGGAGCTGCGCGGAGCCCAGAGCGGCCTCCGACGGCTCCTTGCAGCACGCGAGGCCCACGCCCTTCTTCATGGACCCCATCTACAGGTAAGGGCGGGGGGCCGGCCGCGGAGCAGGCGCCGGGCTGGCACACCACTCTATGCGCTGGGCTTCCATCGGGCCGTTTCTGGGGTCATCGCGGAACAGAGAGCGAGCCGTGGGAGCCGACGGAGGCCTTCTCCTGCAGAAAGTTGGCCCCTTGGCTTTGGACTCCTTTTTGGGTCTGTTTGTTCATTTTATATTTGGGGTCTCACTCTGTCACCCAGGCAGGAGGCCACCACGCGCCAGACTTCCCCACGGGCCGTTTCTGTGATCATCGCGGAGCAGAGGGCAAGCCGTGGGAGCCGACGGAGGCCTTCTCGTGCAGAAAGTTGGCCCCTAGGCTTTGGACTCTTTTTGGGGTCTGTTTGTCCATTTTTGATTTGGTGTCTCACTCTGTCACTCGGGCAGGAGTGCAGTGGCATGGCCACCACTGATCATGGCTTACTGCAACTTCAACCCTCCTGGGCTCCCAAGTAGCTGGAACTATAGGCATGTGCTACCATGCCCGGCTCATTTGTTGATTTTTTTTGGTAGAGATGAGGTCTTGCTATGCTGCCCAGGATGGTCTTGCACTCCCAGGCTCAAGCACCCCTCCCACCTTGGCCTCGCAAAGTGCTGGGATTACAGGCATGAGATGCCATGCCTGGCTTGGATTTATTTTTGGACATCTCTGAAGTTGGGGCTTTGGTCTACAGGATTTTTTTTTTTTCTCCCTTGACAATAGATTTACTTTTAAACACATTTTTGGGCGAGTGGAAAATATGGGAAAGTCATACTTAAAGACACTCGTCCAGGGGCGGAAGAAGGAAGCCTGAAGGATGAGTGCAAGCTCCTGTGGCACCAAGGCACCGGGCTGCGTGGGGGTGGGGTCGTGTGACAATGCCAGTCCCCTTGTCAGCCCACCAGCGCAGCCCCAGCGGTCCCAGTCGCAGTCCGTTTCACCTCATAGGAGCCCCCAGTTACACGAAATATGATTTACAAGGCATGTTGGGTAGATGATGTGAGCGGTCGTCTTGAAAACATGTCTCTGTTGAGTACCTTCATCGTCTGCTTTCCTTGGGTGTATCCAGAAATTCTCTGGGTGGAGCACGCACGTTGAGTACAAGGCCTTTCTGGCCTTCTTCTGTAAGACCCACTTGGCCCACGTGATTTGGTGTTCAAGTGCCAGTTTTCTTTAAGTGGATATGCACAACGATAATGATGTCAGTGGCACAGTTTAGCTATCACAAGCGTTTTCACACTTACTTCCTCCTTCAGATCTTAAACATTGCCAGGAGCCCATGGGCTATGAGGGTGTTTTTTTTTTTTTTATTGAACTCATTCAAGGTGGGAGTATTTTTATATTTTTCCAGATTCTCTTTTATGAAGAGAAGACCCTGTACTCTTCTTTCATTCAACAGGACTTACTGAGTTCCTGTTGCTTACTAGGCACTGCGGCGGCCAGTTTGCACTTGAAACTCTTCTGCCAGCCGGGCACAGTAGCTCGTGCCTGTCATCCCAGCACTTTGGGAAGCAGAGATGAGAGGATTGCCTGAGCCCGCGGGTTTGAGACCACTCTGGGCAAGTTGGCGAGACCTCATCTCTACAATAAATCAAAAACAGCTGGGCATGGTGGCGCATGCCTGTCGTTCCAGCTACTTGGAAGACTAAGGCGGAAGGATCGCCTGAGCCCAGCAGGTCGAGGCTACAGTGGCAGGGAGCGTGCCACCGCCCTCCAGCCTGGGTGACTGAGTGAGACTCCAACGCAAAAAAGAAACTCTTCTGCCTGTATTAGCTGCAATGTGTCAGCAAGGGAACATTGCCAGCATGGGAGGGGCCTCCCTGTTTGAATATGCCAAGGGGCTGGAAGGGGGCCATACCAGAGCATCTCAGTGCTGTCCGTACCATGTTTGGGCACTTTTTTCCAATGATCATATCTTAATTCCTGTGGTGGTCCCATGGCTAGAGAAGGACAAAGAAGAAACAACAGGTCGCTTATAGTTTGTGTGTAAACTGTATGTCACATGTCTCCGGTGAGGTCATATTTCTGCTCAGGGCTACATCTCAGTCTTGGGGGAAGATACCTTCTCAGTTACTCTTTCACACGCTCCTGATGGTAGGCTTTCTGCAACTCCACATATCCCTCGCCCCATCCCCATTCCCTCTAAACCTGCCTCTTTCTGTCTCTGACCTCCGTCTGGTCTCTGGTGTTTCAGTCTCAATTAAGGGCCAGGCCTGTCGTTTTCCCAAACTCATGAAAGGCCTAGAGTCCAGTTTTAGTGTCAGACTGGGTTGAAATCCTACCTTCCCCATGTTTGAGACTTTTTCTCCCTAACCCATAAAAGGGGTATAACACCACCTACTCCATTCAGTAAGTGAAATATATATATGTGCAAAACACATATCTCTATGGTATGAAGAAATGGTAGCTATTTTAAGTGTGTTAAAGGTGCACTTATTCAACAGTTTTTTTAAAATAGAATTACCAACAACTGGTAAAAGAGATTGCTTTCATTGGACTCATGACGTCATTTCCCTGTGTGCTTAACACGGTATAGAATGGCAAGCATTTCTAAAGCAGAAGGGATGTATGATTGAGTTCTAGATATCTCTCTCCATCTTCTAAAAGTTCCCCATCTTCTTCCCCGCCCCCACCTTATCTGCCTGTTTATCAGCAGTGGCATCCTGAGAGGATGGATGGGTGGATGGATGGATGGATGGGTGGGTGGGTAAGTGGATGGATGGCTGGATAGATAGACAGAATATAGATAGATGATAGATCGATACATAGATATATAGATGGATGGAAGATAGATGACAGATGATAGATGGACAGATGAATATGGGTATATAGACGGATAGATGGATAGATAGGTAGATGGATGGTATTTGATGGATAGGTGAATGCATGACATAACTGGGTAAATGATAGATAGATGAGAGAGAGAGAGAGAGAGAGAGAGAAAACCTCAGAATGGCTGGTAGGGTATATTCTTGGAGACTCCCTTGTTATTATTGGCAAATAGGGAAGAAATAGAATGACTGTTGGGAAGAACACCTGGGTAGAAAATGGCTTCAATTTTCAACATTAGCCCTGCCCTCGTGATTTCAAAATCACCAAGTGTTCTTGTCCGTATTTGAAACAAGAAGCAACTGAATGTGTGACGAAGGCCTCTGATTTAATGGCTCCTCATTTTTCGTCTTTCCTCACTGTTGTGACTTGTCTTTAAGCGGATTTTCCCATTACAAAAGCAGCCTCACTCTCTGAGCACCTGGCAGTGCTGCCAGCAGCCCCCAGGAGCCGAACGGTGTCTTTCTGTCGTGTGAAGCCCTTCCCAGAAGCCTGCCCTGTGCTGCGTCGAGGGCTGCTTCCAGTGTGGGTGATTCTGTGGGGATCGATACGCAAGACTGATTCACATCCCAAATCTAATTTCAACCTTTCAGAGTAGAGAAAAGAAAACTAACGGACCCACTCGAAGCACTGAAGGAGAAATACTTGAGGCCTTCTCCGGGATTTTTGTTCCACCCACAAGTAAGTATTTTGCATGGGAGATTTCCAGCCTGTAAACGAACTTGTTGATCTTGAGAAGCAGGTGCAGTGAAATGAAAGCCATCTTGAGAACACGAGGATTTCCGGTGACGCGGGTGTGGAGGAACACAGGAAATTCTCGCAGGATTAAAACCCAGGCTCTTTAAAGAAATATTAGTTAATGGGCGTGTGGAAAGTAACACGGTTTGGGTGTTAAATGACTGTCTGCTATCAGCTGCTTAGGAGCCAAAGCGCATTTGGGGGTGAGCAGAGCTCAGTTAAGACGACGATATTGCCTGTGCCTTCTGCCCTTAAAGGTTGCTGGCGCCGAGATACTCTGTGACTTGTCCCAAGCTTGTGACAGCCTTCCCTATTCTCTCAGGGCTTAGATTCAAAACAGGAAATGAGTCTACCTGACCAGTTGTTACCATAGAGGGTGAAGGAATTTATCTAGAGATCACTGGGCATCCCAGGAAAGTTCTGTAATTGCACAAGAATTCACCACAATGCACAAAGCTACTTGCCAAGTAGGATTATGTCCATTTATCAAAATAGTTACAGTGTCTCATTGCTAGGAAATACCAAGCGGCATTATCTGAGTGGCTCATCCCTGTGTCCCTTACATACTTGGTCACTGCTTTTTTTTTTTTTTTAAACTCAAACAAACAACAAACCTGTGTTTACATATCAGTTGAGCGCTGGATAATTGTATTGCTAGGAATAAGTACAGTATGTAAACATCTTGAATCTGGTTGCTTAGTTTATATGTTGTGTTATTTTTGTTGCGAGGATCCAAGCTGATAGCAACATTTTTATGAAAATGCTTGAAAACAGAGTAAACTAATTTGTCCTCTTGTAATATCTTCAAGCCAAAAATAGTGGTCTTCTGATAAAATTGGGGGAAACTTAGGCAAGCTGTCTTGTGGAAAGCTGTGAAGGAGTTACATTCATTCATCTTGGGATATGATTCTTTTTATTATTCTTTTGTAGCTTCTTTTCATTTTTTTCCAATGCCAAAGTCTCTAGTAAAGAGTATGAGGGTTGAAGTGCCGTCTCTTGGGGGAGACAGACAAATATACCATTGCTCAAGAACCCTCACTCTCTCAAACTGAGAAAATGTACAGTTTATATTGAAAGTTAAAATGGATACATTCCAGGTAGTATTAATTTTATAGAGGAGGGCTAAGGAATTATCGTATTCCCATAATTACTGAATGGAATGTAAGTTCTAAAGCAGTACATGTTTACCAGGGGTTATATTTTATTTTTAGCCTGATCTAAATAGCACTTCTAAGTTTTTGTAAGCTAATGCACATGAACGTGACAGGCATTTGTGTCAGACGGCACAGAAAGAGGATCTCTCTCTTTTTTTTGAGTTGGCGTCTCGCTCATTCACCCAGGCTGGAGTACAGTAGCACACTCAGGGCCACCGCAGCCTCGACCTGCTGGGCTCAGGCAGTCTTTCCGCCTCAGCCTTCCAAGTAGTTGGGACTACAGGCACGCGCCACCATGCCCCGCTAATCTTTTGATTTACTGTAGAGATGAGGACTCGCCAAGTTGCCCAGGCTGTTCTCGAACCCGTGGGCTCAGGCAGTCCTCTCACCTCGGCCTCCCACAGTGCTGGGATTATAGGTGTGAGCCACCGCATCCGGCACAAAGTACATCCCTCTTGATAACTTCCTTTCTAATTGTAAATTAGTATGGATGAGGATATGCTGTTTACATATACTTCATTACAGTAATCAAAGTGCTTTTACTTTCTGATCATCATGAACATGTAGCAATTAACCGCTGCTTCAGCCTGGAGTGCTGGGTACGTGCGCCGTGTGATGGAGACGGGCCATAGCTGGCCTCCGTGTCCCAGCTGTGCAGCCCTGGCTACCTTGGCTCCCAGTTTCTGTCTGTAAGGCAAGAGTATCGGGTGCAAGGTTGCCACCCACTCTGGAGTTCAGAGTTTTCTAGCTGACCAGCGTAAACGTACTGGTGCCTGAGGTGGGCAGTTCCGTCCGTGGGTACTGATGCAGCCTGTTCACGCTTCAGGATAAAAGAATAAGAGAGAAAATAAATTCTATTTGATATCCCCAAAGTTAGTGAGGGATCCTGTAAGGGGAGGTGTGTGCCTGTGCTTGTGGCAGGGTGTCCTCCCTCCGATGTTCCAGACAGGCCTGGGGCCTGGTGGCGGTGACTGCCTCTCACACCCAGTGGCATGTCTTGGAGCAAGGGACATCCCACTGCTGCTGTTAAACAGGACCCGGGAGTGAGCGCCCACATGCTGGGCACCAGGGTGCCATGGATGCCCCCAGAGAGGGTTCCTGAGCTCTGGGCAGGATCCGGAGCCCCTGCAGCCGCCTGCCCCGTCTCCTTGGCTGAGCAGCGGGACCATCCCCAGGTGTCTGAGGTAGAGGCCAGGGAAGCAGAGGTGTGTTCAGGGTGCTTGGGGCGGAGATGGTCACCAGAACCTGCAGAAATGCCTTGCTGTTGTGTGTGATATTGTGGGCCGTGAGTCCTCCTCCTGTTCACCCGGTGTTCCCGCCTCACGGGGTGGCCTCCCCAGGGTGGCCTGGAGGTACTTAGCTCTGTGCGTGGCCCGTGAAAGGACCCATACGAGGAAGAGTGAGTGGTAGCAGAAACACTTCGCTGTAAGGATGAAGGGTCCTGTAAAGCTCCCCCCGGAGTCTGCCTCTCTGCCAGTGGCACCTTGTGTCGTGGAGTACGTGGAAAGTGCTGCAATGCTCGTGGGTGGAGGCAAGGGTGGCAGACACAGAGCCCGGGTCAGCTTGGAGCCACCTACCTCCACTCCAGGGCTCGCACGGCGTCACAGCTGGACAAGTGCGTGTGTGAGACAGGTCACTGCTTCATTGTCCACTGAAGGCTTTTGGAGAGACACACGGACCCTGCTGGGCTTCCGGGTCCCCCTCTTCAAAGTGGGCATCGCGTCCAATCTCTGTCCTTCTCGGGTCATGACCGTGCTGGAGCGGAGATCCCTTTCTCAAGGTTGTAGGGGGAAGGAGTCAGCAGACAGGGGACTGCCTGGAGTAGCTCTCCAGCAGGTCTGACTTACAGCTTGGCATGGCGTCCCCTGGTCAGCCCAGCCCTCCCCAGCCCACAGTCCCTGGCCAGGACGAGCGAACACCTCCGCCAGTGGGATTCCACTGAATTGTACCGATAGGTAATTAGACCATCCGACGGACATGGGGAACAGTAGACGTAGTTTCAGAATTCGGTCAGAATGCTTAGCAGATACGTGAACATGGACATCGACGTTAAAAGGTAAACATTCGGGTTCTGAACTCAGAGCTCTGAGTCCGCTTCTTGAAGGCGTGTGTTGCTGTCAGGCCACTGGAGGACTTCTGGACTTCCGTGTTTTTCTTATGAATAAGTTGGTTTACTGTAGGGAGAAACAGGCGTTATGGAGGCCTCCCTAGAGACGCAGGGGAGCGTTACTCACGGCGTCTTAGTTTAGACTCTAATTCTGAAGGGGGGGTGACAGACACAGCAGGTGGAGGGGCTGGCTGGGGGTAGTGTCACTGTGAATCCCGGCACGTCCACTTCCTTGACAGTCCTTTGGAAGGGCCTTAGAAGCAGTTCGTCAGTTGTAGGATTGCAGACCTAGCTATGATACCTAGCTTTGATTTCCCTATGCTTCAGATATGTTTGGCTCTGAGTACTTCTGCCACAAAGACTTTCTTTTACTTATGTGCTGTCCTTTTTTCCTTCTTTCATATTTTACTCCTCTAGATTGTCTGATTGCTATGTCACTCCATTCCCAGGAACTGGGGCTACCTTTGTCTTTTTCCAGGTTGTCATTCACACATTGATGTGTAAATCACTTAAATCTCTGTCTTCTGTTTTCCTTTCAACAAGTATTTTCTTTGCTAGTCTACTCCTTCTGCAGTAAAGCTTCCACCCTTCAAAAACATTGTATCTTCCTTATTTAACATACGAAAATAGATGCAAGCCAGATAGAGGTCCCTTTTAACCAAGCAAAATGATAATTTTAAGGGTATGACATTTGTGTCTCCACTGCAACCCAGTGAATCTTTTCACAGTCATTAATAACAGGAATTTTTAGTTATTTTAATGACTATTCTTAAGTGTTCTGCATACTGATGGTCTGCATCCCATACTAATAAAAGTCAAGCAGTGAATTTCCAAGTACGTTGCCTTTTTGCTACTCAGTGACTCACATTTGAGTAAATATCTTTTATTTGTTATTAACGTTATAAGAATGCAAGAGATTGGACTTTGCAGGTAATTTCTCAATTTTTCGTTCTTAAAGTAAAATTTAGGTATATTGTTTTGAAGGGAGTAATCACGAGTAAAAGGGAAGCATCTACTTTGCTGTAAGGTTCAGTAGTAGGTAGCATTTAGCTTTCTTGGAAAAAAGAACATTCTGGTTTATAACCTTTATTTGGACATTTAATTTAGGTGAATAGAGGATTCAGTTGTGTTATAAAAATATTTGACTTTAATTTCCAAAGCTTTTACTTAAGGTACAATTCTGTGATAAGCAAAAAGTACTGATTTAGTAGAATGTTAATTTCTCAGAGGATAAATTTCAATAAAGATACCGACACAGAAGTAATTTTTTGTTTTTGTTTCAATTTTGCTCCCAGTTCCCACTGCCTGATCAGAGAACCTGGGTAAGTTTCCTGCTTATACTTTTGACTAACGTAATGTAACACTAAAAAGAAAACAGCTTGCATTCTTGATTGCTGTAGAGACGTAGAGAGTCCTGACCCCTGTTCAGTGGCAGCCTTCAGAGAGGGCTTCCTGCGTTGTGAAGCTGCGTGCGTCCAGCTATGGTGGGGCATCCAAAGGGAGTGGGGAACTGTTTACAGAATGCCTTAGTTCGATGAACTTGGCCCATTCCACACACTCATGCCTTGATGTGGGGCTCTTGCTGGGCACCTGGGGGCATGCTCAAAGAGGCTTCGAAGTGGGTGACTGTGCAGAAGCAATGTCACTTGGGGGAGCCTGTCTCAGCCTTCTGACGGATAAGTTGGAACTTGTGTGTGAACACAGGCTGACACTGGCCTTCACGTTCATATGCCCCAGGGAGGAAATTGGTTCTGGCTATTTGTAGAAATAAGACTCAATGTTTGAAAATCCATCTCTCATGTCATCTAAGAGTGGCTCTTTTAGCGCCAGGTCTCACCTGCTCAACTTTCAACTTCTGTTTCCAGATAGTCAGTTTTCAGGTAGTGATACCAAGGGACAGCCTTATTTTTTTATTGAGGAAGACAGGACACAGAGAGAACACTGCTTAGTCGGTTTTCACCCCCAGATCCAACTTGGTCAACGAAAATACCATACATTACAAAATTTTGTCTGCGCACAGATGTACTTTTACTTGTCTTCTTCGTGGACGTTTTCCTGATTCTGAGGAGAGGGTGAAGTCTTGGGATTTAGGTCCACTGTCCCTTTAAAGCCCCACGTGGTTATAGAGAAACATAGCGGGGACACTTTAGCACTTGTCTGTTTCCTCTATCTGATGGTAGTTTTCCTTGACCAGGAACGCCTCTATTTTCTCTGCTTTGTGGAATATGTGACAAATTGTGTTTTTCTCATTCTGAAAGGATGAGAACTTTTAGGGATTAAGTTCATTTATTTCAAAAGTAGGAATGTATTTAGAGAGACAGAGAACAGAGAGAGAAGAGAGCAAAGGAGGAGAAAGAGGGAGGGGGAAGAGAGGAGAACAGAGAGAAGAGAGAACCGGAGAAAAGAGAGAGGAGAGAGGGAAGAGAAAGCAAAGAGAGAGGAGAGAGAGAAGAGGGAAGAGAAAGAGAAGAGAGAGAGGGGGAAGGAGAGAAGAATAGAGAGCGATAAGAGAGAACAAGAGGGAGACAGAGAGAGGAGAGGGAGAGAGAGCACGCGTCACAGAGGGCTGTCCTTTGGTTTCTGAGCTGGCATTCCCAGGGCTCCTTGGCGCTTTCTGGTCGAGGTCTGTCTCGAGGAGGCTCATTCCTCAGGGTCCCCAACCTTCCCCAGGTACGATATGGCTCTGGCAGCAGCCGGGCCGTCTGCAACTCGAGGCTGCCGATGCCACCCTGGCACCCGTGGCCAGCAGTCGCCCGCCTCACGGTGCCAGTGAGAGAGAGTTCAGGTCCAGCTGCCTTCTTCAGCTGCGGCATGGCCGCCGCTGTCCAGCGCTTGGAAACATGCCTGTTTCGTTGAGTCACAGCTTTTTCAGATTGTGGTTTACGTTTGTATTATAAAATGGATACCAGCAGAAAATATGAAAGACGTAGGTTTATGATTTTGGTGGCAAAAACCCTCCGAGGGGCTTCGTCATCTTGATGCTGAATGCGATGCTGGGAGCGAGATAACCACAAAGTAGGAATGTTTACTTCCCCAGATGACCGTGATTCTGTGATTTCTCAGGATTATCAGGTGAATAAATATAGAAAACTCCCAGATCCACAAACTTTCCCATCATAAGTTATTTATGAAAAGTCCGTTGTTTTGTGATAAAGCCATGTGTAATCTAATTTGTGAAACATGAGGTCACATAACTTACGGTGCCCCAGACATATCATTTCATATAATCAGGTTGTCACTTTAATAGTTTTAATGAGAAATGTTTTCATGTCATCAATTATTTGCTGCCAGATAATAAATGTTAAGCTAAGTGCTTGGACCTAGTTGATGCTATCTTGCTTGATGAAATGTTTGTAAAAATACTTACTTTATTTGACCGGAGAGATAGCGACATTTTTGGGTAGGAGCTAGGGAATTGTGTCTAAATACTAGTTTGCGTCAGTATAAAGTTAATAGCCTCTTGGGGATGGAAAGGGGGTGAAATGACTTCCTCTTCCAGACATCTGGCTGCAGATAGCATCAACAGCTATTATATATGTAAATAAAAATTACTGCTCCGTAGAAAAAACTGTCATTTACTGATCTTAGATTAGCCCATGGCATTCGTGGTGACACGGCAATACATGTTGAAATATATGCTCTAACTTTTCCCCTGTATTCTCCCCTTTCCCAGGAAGTTTATCCATCATAGTGGTACACATTGCTCTTTTCATTGACTTTGCCGTAATTTAAAAACTAAATAGCTAGATTCTGTTCCATTTATTCCGGTTTATCCTGATTTTTAAAATCTAAAACTTTGAAGTAGATGTCAAAACTTACTACTTCCCCTTAAAAAAAGCATGTTACTTCCAGAGGGACATCCTGTGAGTCAGACCAGACATCCAGCGACAGTTGGGGTTTGGATCCGTCTACAAGTGAATGCTCATCCTCGTCCTACACCTTGATCTGAGGTGTAGACCGGACTGCCGTTGTCTCAGAGCTGCGTTCCAGGCCACTGTGTCTCCTAGTGTGGAGACTGAGTCTCTCCGGAGATGCCAGGGGCCGTCAGCGCAAACGTGGGGAGGGTGGAAGGAGGAACTCACTGAGGCCTTTTCTGTAGCAAGGGCTGGGAACGGAGGGTGTTGTGTGTACATGCATGAGCGTGTGTGTACATGTGTGCATGCATGTGTACGCCCAGGTGTGTCAGCGGTGACCCTCTCTCACGTCTCATCTTCTCCTTCCCCTCCCCCATTCCAACTTAGTCCTGTTGTCATTTGACACCAGAGACCAAAGGTAGGGGCTAGCTTATAAGAGAGGCACTGGGGCGGAGGACCTCTTTTCTCTGTCATCTCTAAGGACATCTCTGTTGAGCCATCAAGCCCATAATACACGTTCTTGTTTCCTGATGGTTTTCCCAAACCGAAACAGTTTGCGGCCATCACAGTGATCCTCCTTCCAAAGGAGCTGGCTGGCCGTGGGCAGCTGTAAAAGCAAGACATGTTTTTCAGCAGCCAGCTGAAGGACTGTCACTTACGAGTCCAGAAAAGAAAGCCAAGTATGTTCGTCGAAGCCGCTTACCATGGTGCTGTGGCTTGCCTCGCTGCAGGAACCTGAAGGTGTCAACAGGACAGATACGCAGTGATTTAAAGACACTAGATAATGAAACTTTATTGAAACCTTGCATGTCCATAAATAAAACATTGGTACCCAGGCCCCAAGCACTTCCTGCTCTTCCCAATAAATACACGCACTCCTGACCCTGACCCTGGCCAGCTCCTGCTCCAGCTGAAGGCCAGAGGTTATTTTTCACTCAGACAATCTGCCTCATGGTGAGTGGAATATCAAAATGACTTTCTGAAAGGAACAGTTAGGAACAGTACTATCTGAAAGGAGCAATACTATCCTGCAGCCTCTCTGGGTTGCTTTTTTCATGAATAAAACCCAATGGTCTGAGCGTGCCAGTGCTCGGCTAGGAGGAGCAATGGCCGCCTCGGCAGTCCGGCAGCCTCTGAGCGGCATCACCGCGGATCTCTGCCCCGTGATCAGTGAGTGTCAGAACCCTTCACGGTGACAAATGTGCTGTCCACTCCCATCTGCAGAGAATGCTTTAGCAGCCGAGTGATTATGAATCAACCCCTGAGCTTAGGCCCTCGCTGCCTTGAAGTGCGTTCACATTTGTCATCTGACAAGTCAATGTATCTTGACTTTCCTCCGAGATTTTTCTATACCGTGTTTGACGAAGGGCATCTGGCAAATTGGCGGTGGTACCCTGTACGTTGCAATTCGTAGCTGGCGTCAGGAGTCTGGGTGTGGGAGGGAAGGACAGGCTCCAGGATAAAGAGAGAAGTCAGGGAACTAACCAGAACAGGGATCGCCATTTGAGAATCAAACATGCAGTATTCCCTCGGTGAGAAGAGACCAGGCTCACGCCGTGCTGCTCAGATTCTGCTCTAGTTCAAGAAGTTGCTGGGATTCTGCCCAGCCTCGTGTCCACGGAAGACACACTTGGCTAACTTTCCTGTTGAGGAAGAAACGTTGCCTTTGGTGTTTAACTCGAGCTGGTGAAGTAGGCCTCTATCTCTCTCTGTCTAGGCCTCCACCTCTACCTTGCTGTCTCGTCAGCATAAGAATGAGCCTCGTGGGCCGGCCGGTCACTTGAACGTGCAGTCGGTGTCACCCGGCCCTGTGTGTCTTTGGTCTACCACCCCAACTCTCTGAGAAATACCCAGGATGCACCTGGAATGCAAACACCATTTTCATAGCTTTTGCGCTTCCTAGGAGCACCCTGCCCTGAGAACCAAATAAATAGTGGGTGAATGGATTTAACTCGATGGCCTGAAACTTTGCCCGTTCTGCTTACGAATTCGGTGGTGAGCACTTCCTCAAGTCATACGAGCCCTGAAGGATACGTGACATTCTGAGAGGGTGGAAGGAAAGGGGTGAGGCCTCTGACTACAGACGTAGAGAATCAAGCTGACTCTAATGTAAAGACCACCTTCGGATGGTGACTCTGTCAAAGACACACACAGGCAGGCACAGACTCGAAGATTAGAAGCGACATAAATTAGGTTGTTGGAGGGTAAGAAGTAGGCAGGAGAGCTTTTCCCAAGAATGGTTTTCTCTAAAAGTGCGATTCCATGAACTGCCCCCTCTCTTGTAATGTGCCTGCCCAGTTATCTTATTATGAAGTCTTAATATATCATAAGCTGTCATCTCAACCCAGTCTTTGTCCAGAACACATGAGTATTGCATCAAAATTATTTGTCTATAATTCCATTAAAACATGGTATGTTGGGATATTAATTTGAGGTAGTCTTAAGCATTCTTCCCCTTCAAATGTTTTCTTTCTGAGTTGTACACATGTGGCCTAAGCTGCAATGTGCAGCACGTTACATTCTTCTGTGCTGGGAGTCCTTTTCATGGGATTCTTTTGGTTTTGTGCTTAAGGCATCTAGCACCCCTTCCCAAAACTTCCATTGTGTTGATGTCCATAACGTGATACGAATGCTATCACTTAATCAATACAAAGTCACATTGGCCTGATTATCTCTCTGTGTGCTTCACTGCTCACTTGTGTATCAGGTTGTTATGAAATGGTCTAACCCAAGGCCTTATGACAAAGGGTCACCAAGCACTTTACAAGCTTGGCTCTATTTGTGTTATTTCCTAAACCCATCAGTTTTCTCATTGTCTGTGTAATATCAGAACTCTGCAGTCTCTTTCTGTCACCCATTGCATTTGGTAGATTTGATGCTTCCCTGTTTTTTGCTTTGTTTTGTTTTTGAGTCAGAGTCTCACTCTGTTGCCCAGGCTGGAGGGCAGTGGCACGCTCACGGTCACTGCAGCCTCGACCCGCTGGGTTTAGGTGATCCTCCTGCCTCAGCCTTCCAAGGAGCTGGAACTACAAGTGTGCACCACCATGCCTGGCCATTTTTTAAATTTATTGTAGAGATGAGGTCTCGCCAAGGTGCCCAGGCTGGTCTCAATCCCATAAGTTCAGGCACTTCTCTCACCTTGGCCTCCCATGCCTCACCTCTTAATATCACCAAATGAGGATTGGTTTTTTTCTATCTTTTTTTTTTTTTAAGTTGGAGTCCTACTCTGTCGCCCAGGTTGGAGTGCAGTGGCACACTCTTGGCCACCGCAGCCTCGACCTGCTGGACCCAGGCGATCCTTCCACCTCAGCCTTCCAGGTAGCTGGAACTTGATGCTTCCCTTTTAATGATGGTCTTGGCTTTCCAGAGATTGCCACTGAAGAAAAGATGCCACACCCTTCACGGTCTTGTGCTTTTGCCTTTCAGATGTCGGCGATTGAAAACATGGCGGAAAAGCTGGAGGGCTTCAGTGCCCTGAAACCAGAGGCCAGTGAGCTCCTGCAGTCGGTGCCCTCCATGTTCAACTTCCGGGCGCCCCCCACGGCCCTGCCGGAGAGTCTCCTGCGGAAGGGCAAGGAGCGCTACACCTGCAGGTAGCCACGGTCACTTAAGGCGATGGCCCTGTCTCCCTTTGGTTTCCAAAGGCCCGGCCGTCTGTGTGGGAAGTCATTCTTGATTTGGTGATTAGCAGTCACCGTGATAGAGCCCAGGCACTTCAAAGTGCTCTTTATTTGGCGCGGTGTAAAAATAGTGGTTTTAAAAACTTATCATGAAATGAGAGTTTTAACACAGGCCATTTGGCTGTGATAAATGAGTTTGGAACCAGCCCAGGAGCTATCCACTTGTCACCCTGTGATATTTATGAGTTTTCTTCCGCAGTTAATTATTTTCATCCAAAGGTATAATACTACGGTCCTCAAACACGTGTTTGTAAATGGTCGTGGCATTGAAGAATCAGGTCCACAAGTGGAGAAAGCTAGTTAGTATCCCTCGTTCCTCCTCAGGGCAGAGCGAGGCTCGTTTTATGTCTCTGATTTCACGTGTGTTTTTTTCCCTAAATAAATTGTGCTTATAATTTCTGAATTGTCTTCAGAAATTTGTGGTATCTGACTCAAGACATATCAATTTATCTGCTCCTTGAAAAAATGTGTCACTTTCTTTCCAGAAAAGCTTTTATGGGTGCCTACCTTGATGGATGCAGTCTCGGGGTCTTGTCTGATCTGATACCACTCTGTGCACAGGGCTTGTCACTGTGGCTGACACGTCAAATGAGTCGAAACATTTGAAATCTGTTTACATCCACCCAGAGTCACCAGCTCTCGTTATTTATTTATTTATTTATGTGTGTATGTATGTATGTATGTATGTATTTAATCCGCTTGTCTGGTTCAGTGTTGTGAATGTGAAGACGCCGAGTTAATAAGAGAGGCGTACGGGGTCGTCAAAACTGAAGTCTGGTTTCATAAACCGCCGTTTATGCCTAAGAGCTTCTACCCTCGCTCGTGGCACGGCTTCATTTGTAGAGTTATTTATATCCATAGCATGGCATTGTTGCAGATGTTAAATACCAAAGGCATGTGAGTTCCATGCAGGATTAATTAAGTCGGGAATAAGCATCTGACTGCTCCATGGTCCGAGGGAAATGAAGTGGATGTGCTGACTTTCTCTCATCAACATCTCTTCGTGACAGATACTGCGGCAAGATCTTCCCAAGGTCTGCAAACCTGACGAGGCATCTGCGGACCCACACGGGGGAGCAGCCCTACAGGTATGTCAGGGATGTTTGCTGAGTATCTCCATCAGTGCTGTGATGGTGCTTTTGTCTGTGTCTGAATTTCCTCCATGTCTGTTCAATTTTGAGTCAAAGAAGAGCTCACCCATGACTAGGATGAATTAGAAGAGTGCTGATGTCTTTTGTGGAGGCTTTGTACTGCTCAGTTTAAAAGTCCTAGCATGGTGTCTAGTACAGAATAAGTATTAGAAGTACTGGCCATCCTTGCTGGGTGGCACGGTGGCTCACGCCTGTAATCCCAGCACTTTGGGAGGCAGAGGCGAGAGGATTGCCTGAGCCCAGGGGTTCTTGACTAGCCTGGGCAACTTGGCAAGACTTCATCACTACAGTAAATAAAAAAATTAGGGCGTGGTGGTACACACCTGTAGTTCCAGCTACTTGGAAGGCTGAACCACTGCAGTAATGAACCCCTGCAGTATAAGTATGAACCACTACAGTAAATAAAAAAATCAGTGCATGGTGGTGCACACCTGTAGTTCCAGCTACTTGGAAGGCTGAGGTGGAAGGATCGCCTGAGCCCAGCAGGTGGATGCTGTGGTGGCCATAAGTGTGCCACGGCACTCCAGCCTGGGCGACAGAGTTAAACTCTGAATCAAAACTAAACAAAACTGGCCATCCTTAAAGTTACTCTTATTATTGTAATGCTCTCTCTTTTTAGTAATTAGAGCTATTTTGACATAAATCATAATGTTGCAGCCTTCTCCCACCCCACCCCACTTTTTCTTTTCAAGCCTCAAATCTCTGCTGAGAGTTGACAACCCACATGTACTTTGTGTTCTCAGCACGACGAAGTCAGTTTGTGCAGCTTCCAGTGAAGGTTTAGGGAGTAAATCTTAAGTGTGGGACTGGAGGGAGAACAGATGAAATAGAGTTGACTAGGGACAAGGGGACAATTTTATCAGCAATTTCCTCAAGTACCTCTTCGCTTAACCTGTTCAGTGTCAAGATTCGCAGGATGGCACCTGGCACGTATCTAAGTTTAATATCGTTGTTCAGGAGAGAATGAAAAGAAGCCACATTCCCCCTTCCAATTTGAAAATAGAACTTACACTGTTGAATGTTCAATGCCTTGAACACAGGATTAGGTGCTCATAAATATTTCTTCAAAGAATGAACATTACTTAAGAAATCCCATAATTTCATCCTCCTTTGAAATGTTTATATATGGCATATGTGTTAAAGTTATTTTTTGGTCCGAATGCTAACTTTTTCCACTGAAGTAAATAGATAATTTATCAGGTTTCACGGATTTTTCTGAACTGCGAGAAAAATAAAATGGGCAGAGCAAGGCTCATTTGAAGGTCATTGGAATTGTAGGAGAAAACTAGAGGGAGTTAAACTAAAAAAAAAACAAAAAAACCTGTGTTTTTCTCAGAGTTTTTGCTTTTCTACGTATTTCATGCATCGCTGACTGTAAGTGATATTTTAAATTTATGCGTGATAGAATGCGCTTGATATAACACATCTCAGAGAGAGAGCATAATGGAAAGTCTTAGATAATTTCCCCTTTTAAGGAAATGCCATTCCCAGAAATTTTGCTGAAGTGGAAGGAAAGGTTTCCACATCACATCTTGTGGCAGGCAAGGGTGCTGTTATGTAGTCGTGGAGTCATTCGCATTTTACTCCTCTTCGTACCCAGATTCAGTGGCTTTATTATACCTCATCAGTGGTGCTATTGATATTCATTCATTCATTCGTTTGTGCGTTCATTCGTTCATTTATTTATTGTTAGGGACAGAGTCTTGCTCTGCTGCCCAGGGTGGAATACAGTGGTTTGACCATAGCTCACTGCAGCCTTGAACTCCTGGCTCTAGTGATGATCCTTCTGCCTCAGCCTTCCTAGTAGCCAGGACTACAGGTGCATGCCACCATGCTAAGCTAAGTTTGATTCTAATTTTAAAAAGTGTTTTGTGTGGGTGTGAGTGGGTGTGTGTGTGTGCGTGTGTGTGTGTATGTGTGTGTGTGTGTGTGTGTGTGTGTGGTTGTGCTGAAAATAAAAAGATCCAAAAGGTCCAGTTTTATCTGGGGGAAAAGTCAATATCTTTTACATTGATTTCACTATGTTTTTGTTTTATTCAGATATTAGTAGGTTATTCAATAGAGATTTTGCATTAAAAAGTGAATACCCCCAGAATTTCAGCTGTTGCCCAGGAACCTTGTGGTGGTCACTAAAAGTAGAATTGGGACTATGAAAGTGTGAAAAAGGGCTGGGCGTGGTGGCTCATACCTGTAATCCTAGCACTTTGGGAGGCCTAGGTGAGAAGACTGCTTGAGTCCAGGAGTTCAAGACTAGCTTGGTCAACATAGCAAGACTTCATCTCTACAAAAAAATAAAAAATAAGCCGGGCTCGGTGGCTCAGCCTGTAATCCCGCGCCTTTGGGAGGCTGAGGTGAGTGGATTGCCTGAGCCCGTGGGTTCGAGACCCGCCTGGGCAGCGAGACCTCATCTCTACAATAAATCAAAAAATCAGCTGGGCATGGTAGCGTATGCCTGTAATTCCGGCTACTTGGAAAGCTGAGGCGGAAGGATCGCCGGAGCCCAGCAGGTCGAGGCTGCGGTGGCCGGAAGCGGCCACTGCACTCCAGTCTGGGCGACCGAGTGAAACTCCAACTCAAAAAAAAAATAAATAAATAAAAAAATAAAAAATAAAAAATATTAGCTGAATGTGGTGGTATATGCCTGTAGTCTCAGCTACTCAGGAGGCTGAAGCAAGAGGATCACCTGAGCCCAGGAGGTTGAGGCTGTGGTGAGCCATGATTATGCCACTGTCTTCAGTCCTAGGTGACAGACTCAAACAAAAAGAAAGACAAAGAAAGTGGAATAATAGAGTGCATAAGAAGACCAGAAGATAGCCAGGAGGAAATCAGAAATTTACCCCAAAATGGATGATATTTG